AGTCCCGCTAGTTATCTATTTGAATTTTAAGACATCAGATGAATGAATGAGATATTATGTGATAAACTTTCTTGTGAAAGGTTTGGAGGTTTAGATTTTCCTTGAAGTGAACCAACGGAGGTTTTTCACTCCCTTCAAGCAGTTTTTTTTTTTCCCTATTCTACTTTTCTTTATTTTATGTGATCAATAAAAAAAAACTTTAGAGACAAAATTTTTTAAGGGAAAAGGATTGTTATGTGCCTATTTTTTTTTTATATTTTTGTAAGATAGTAATAGGAGTTTGAATTTTTATTTTTATTTTTTTTGAATTGGTTAATAAGTAAGTGATACAGTATTAATTGGTTTTTTTGGTAGTTATACAAACAGTTGGGTTAAGAGATTCAGTAGTTATCTATTTGGTGTTATCAATTTGTATTTAAAGACGTGAGATAAATGAAAATGATGAGATTTTTTGTAATAAACTTTCTTGTGAAAGGTTTGGAAGATCAAGTTCTTCAAAATCAACTAACAGAAATTTCTACCCCCTCGAAACAAATCTCTTTTTTTTTATTCTATTTTTTTTATCTTCTAAATCCCTTAAAATCGTGCATGTAACAAAACTAGTATTTGAGAATGGTTGATCTACTACTTTACATTTGGAACAAGCCAAAGCCGGGCTGTTATAAGGTATCCTAATTTGATTGAAGATTAAAACACAAATGGTTAATACTAAAGCATAGAATCGGAAAGAATCCATTCTTTAAACGCATAGTAGGTGTTGTTAGAGCAATTTGAAACTCAAATTTTAAGTTTGTTGATTGGCCTGTTTAAAACTAGCTTAAAATCCTAGCTTTTTTCGGTTTCAAAGCAAAAAAGTCTGGTCCATTTAGACTCGAATTTTTTGAACAGCTTTTTCATCAATTTTTTGGATAAAAACAACTTTTATCAGCACCAAGAAAAAACTAAAAAATGGGACTTATCCAAGGGCTTCTAAGAAAAAATCGTATTTTTCAAAAATACTCCAAATGATTCCAAGAATTTTTTAAACTCTGATTTTTTTTATTTCAGTTTTCAAACTGCTATTTTGGACCTCCAAACAGGCCCAACATTTTAGTGTGTCGAACCTTTATTTATTTATGTTTTTCAGAGCAATTGTATAGAGACCTGAAGTGAGAATACAATCAAATACCTAATTTAATATAGTCATTAAAGTAGTTGCGTAAAATATAATCCACTTCTAATTTAATGATTATATTAAATTAAATTTTCAAATTAAATTTAAATAACATATTTTCTCCTCTTCAAAAGGATCAGCTACGTTTGGGTTTCTGTGCTCCTGTATATGAAACCATATTTTTCTCAACATAAACTTATTTTTCCTATTATGTTGTTTTAATAATTACTAATAATCACCTTATTTAATAACTATCATTTTAATATTATGGAGGTCATCAATCATATTTGTTGTTTCATAAGTAGGATGACGTGGTCACTGTCACACCCAATAGTTACTTGTATTGTAAAGTTTTTACTTCTAAGGTTGATAATCGGGTCAAACTTGTCGAGCTCGTTTTTTTAAATGAGTTTTAAAAATTATTCAAATTCAATTTATTTGTAAAATAAGTCAAGCCCGAATCCGAGTTCGAGTCGGACTTTACATATAAACGATTTGAACTTTAAGAGTTCAAGCCGAACTTTTTAGGCCCGTTTAAACAAGTTTAAAAAATTATTCAAGTTCGACTCGAATAAACTCTATACTGGTCGAACTTGACAAACTCGATTAACAACTCTATCCGCTCCCCACTAATATAATGTGAAATTTATATAACAAAATAGAATAATTTTGAATTTTAAAGACAAATAATGGTTCAGATTGTTTCGTGACCAAAAAAATATCTTTTAACGGACGATATTATCTCAAACTATTGACGTCTCATATCGTTTCGATCTAACATACCAAAATAACTGTTGAAATTTTTTTGCCACACAAAATTTGTAATTTCAAAAATTAACATTGCCTAAATTAAATTCTCCTAACCGACTCAACACAATCAAATCTAGAAATTACTGGCTGGCCCCAACTCTACCCCTCTCTCCCTCTCTCCTCTCTCCTTCTCGCCCCAATTGACAACACACATAACGCAGCACCGAGACAATATCTTTGATCTTCTTTCCTTAACAGAATATGATCTCTTTGATCTCCTTTCCGTACCAAAAAAGAATTGTCATGTTACCTATTCAAGTCTAATGTCTTCCCCTAGCGACGGCGATGAAACCTCTGTCTCTCTCCGTACATCTCCACCAGTCACCGTCTCTTCTACGAACCATGACAGGTACCTCTCTCTTCTCTCTCTGGCACTTCTCTATCACTCTCTCTCTCATTCCCCAATCTAGACTCCATCCACACCACCAACTTACACCCAGTAGTCCACCTGTCCAAGTATAACTCCTTTCTCTCCTCCTCTTATCCTGCCAATTTCACTCCCCCCTCCACTCCACCGTAAATCACTCAGCAATCCTACAACTCCATAGCACATCTCTCTCTCTCTCTCTAGCGCACCGCCCATCACCGCCTGCCCATTGCCATTCACCACTGTTTGCCACAGCCACAACCCCTTTTCCTCTTCACCACCACCGCCTCAGCCCCTTTCTGTTCTCTCTATCGACCAAATCAAACCACAACCACCAAATGTTCAACAAAAATTCTCAAACACTATCCTGTACATTTCCCTCTCTCATTCTCTCTTTCTGGTAGGAATTTTCGTGGACAGTAGATTTTATGGGGTTGTATGTTATTTCAAACTATTGTTGTTTTGTCTCAATTAAGCGAAAAAAAAAAAAAAGAAACTTTGTTTGACAGGCAGCCCACAATTCCTTCATGGGTGTGTCGTTGCAATTGTTTGGCTTCCCACTGGTGCCCCCATTGAGAAAGAGGTCTACAATGTAACAGGTAATCCAAGGGCTTCAGTTGTGTTATTAATTTTATACTTTTTGTTTTTGTCTCGTAAAACCAGTTAAGAATCTATGATATGGTTTTGGCGCATAATTGAAATGGGTACGTTTTTTGAGTATTTGATTCAATTAGTTTTTTATTTGGCAATCGGTGTGCAGGTCGTGGCAATTCTAGTGTTGGGTGGTGTTACGATCGGTGATTTTCTACCGCCTGCATGGCTGTGAAAACATTGGAGTTTTTTGCCTACTTTTACATGCTCAAGCCTTATATCTTTGATTTAACAACATGAAAGGTACGGTATTATGTTCGTGTAGGGGCATTAGTTAGAATATTTATATTTAATTAAAAATGAGTACAGGTTTTAATGCGAGCCTCACATCAGTAGGCGTGGCCCGGGTGGGTTGGTTGGTGGGCTTCATGGCATAGAAAATGACTACAGACTAAACTAAACGCAGTCAACTTTTCTTGATGCAGATCAACAGATTAGTCTTTCTATGGACTTGCTTGCTCAGAAAGAAAAACACAGTATAATGGCAGTTCCGTTATTATAGATAAAGCTAAGTCCATTTAGTTTGAAGTTAACTGCAAAAATCAAAATCCCATTCAGGCAACAAACCAATAACAGCGAAAAATAAAAAAGGATAAATTATAATTGATACCCTTAATTTTTAGGTTTAATTGCATTGAAGTCCTTAAAATATAAAATTTATCTCATTTTAGTCTCCAATATTTCAATTGCATTATTTTGATCCCTAAAGTATTGAATATATTTCTATATGGTCTCTCAAGCAGACAACGTCCAGATTACTAACGATTTTTTTTTATTATAAACTTATCACGTAATACTTAAATATGGACAAAAAAATAATTTGCATAACCCTAGACTAAATTTTTATTCAAATTCTGGTTAAATAGCTACCTAAATTACATATTTTTTTATCATAAGTTATCCAAACTTCGGTCAAAAGTTACCTATATTAGACATTTTTTTGTCAAGAATTACTCAAACTTTGTTTAAGAACTAGTAAATTATTTTTTGTCTATATTTAGATATCACATGACAAGTTTATAATAAAAAATTATTAGCAATCTAAACGCTGTCTGTTTGAGGAACTATATAGAAAATATATTCAATACTTTAAAGACTAAAATGAGACAATTAAAACATTAAGAACTAAAATAAAATAAACTCCATATTTTAGGGACTTTCAGTGTAATTAAATTGATTATGACAAAATGATAAATTTAGTAAAAAAAATATATTTATTTGGTAAATTTTTTTATTTTATTTCATCTTATTTAGTGAGAAAAAAAAAAGACAAGGAGCAATAATTTGAAAGATATTGTGAAACAAGGAGAATAATATTAATGCATTTGAAAGATATATTTTTTATTGGACAAATATACCTTTATGGGCAACTCCAGTGACATTTTTTTATCCGAATAAATTAATTGATTTTGATAGAAGAATTGAATTGAAACATGATTAAAACTCTAGGAATATAATTGTTAACATTAAAACTTCAGAGATCAAATAAAAATTATGTGCATATTTTGAGGGTATAAATTATAAATTATACAAATAAAAAAGGTGTCACAGGAAACACTTTCAACAAGTTTTCTCTCTCCCAACAGCTCGCCTCGCCCTCCCCTTCCCCCCCTCTCTCTCCGTCCTCTCTGTTTTCATTCACAGGAAACACTAATGTTACGGTTGCTGATCGCTGAATCAGACTTTGTTTGAGCTTCAATGGAGGAAGAGAAAAAGTATACATCGCTTCCTTCGAACTACTTGTCGCTGGCACAACTCCAAGAACGCTGGCTCAAAAACCATCAAAAGAAAAAAGATGAAGAACAACCAAGGCAGAGAAAAGAACAAGAAAATGGAAGTCAGAACGAGACTGGAGCTCGAAACGACGCCAAAACTGTATCCGTCGTCACTCGCCGGTCGTTTCGGTTAAATCAATCGGAAAAAGTTTTTCGTTCGATCGAAGTTAGCAAACCGAAATCGGAGGAATCGACAGACAAAGGTGTTGTGGTCTGCGATGAGGAACAAAAGACCGATGAATCGAAGAAGAAGAAGAAGAAGAAGAAGGATAGGAGGAATAAGAGAAAACCTAGGGTGGGGGAAAACCTAAATGGAAGTACGGAACAGCTACTAATGGATAACGAGACGGAGAAGAAATTGCCGGTGCTTAAGGAAAACGATGAAAAGGAGGGGATCAGAAGTGAATTCCAGCATAATGTCGATGACCAGAAAGTTTCAGCGGATCGGACGGTGGAGATTCAAGGGAAGTATAAGGGCTTGTCACTCAATGGATGGCGAGAGCGCAATGTGAGATCGACGGTGAAGATTCAAGGGAAGTATGAGGGCTTGTCACTCAACGGAAGGCGAGAGCGCAATGTGAGGTCGACGTTGGAGATTCAAGGGAAGTATGAGGGTTTCTCACTCAATGGGTGGCGAGAGCGCAATGTGAAGTCAACCGTGGAGATTCGTGATAATTATCAGAGGAATTGGAATTCTGGTCGGCCCGATCGCTGGAAAATGTGGAAGCAGAGAGATTGTAACTTTGTGTGGGTTAGGAAAGGAGAGGTTTCTGATACTAATGGTCCTGAAATTCCAAGCTCAGGTAACAATTTCTGCTGTTTGTGTGTATTGACTTATGTTATTTAACTGATTTTACTATGAATATTTTGGACTTATTTCTTGCTGTAAAAAATATTTTTTGAACAGGATGCTGTAAAAATTATTAACATAGGAATAATGTAATAAAAGCAATTATGTATACATTTTATGTAAATAATGCCTTGAATGTTGAATCAGTATTGGTTGTTAACTAGGTGAATAAGACCCTTCGATATTAATCTAATATGACAAGGAGAAGTGAGTGTAAAGGTCCAAGGGTGATCTTACTGCTAATTTAGAGATGTGTTGTTAACTCCTTCCATACTACCACCTCTAAAATGGTAGGATCAGTTGCACAAAATTCATATCAAAACTTACACTTCCATGTTTTTAAACAATTTTCCAACTACACTTCCAGGTTTTTAAACAATTTTTCCAACTCGTACCGTGGTTTATGTTGCTCTTCTTCGCAGAAGTATATTGTTTCTCTTCAATCATTTTCAAGTTCGTTTGCTGAGAAAGCCATTTGTGACTAGATACTAACGGACTTTATAATTTATGCTTCTTAACTAGCTCAAAGTTCAAATACATGATTTTTTAGCTTGGCTATTGAAAGCCTGAAATTATTCAACATTGAGCTCTCGTGGGCCGAATAAGATTATATCATCTAAAAAATGTGGTATGAAGAAATTGCAGAGTTTTCAACCCTCACTAATAGTAATTGGTGCCTTGACACCAGCACAGTCGAATCTTGACTGGCTGACATGAGGGACAATGGGAGTAAAATCATTATAAGTCAACTCAACCCCCCCCCCCCCCCCCCCCCTCCCCCCCTTCCCCTTTTCTTTCCTCTTCCTCCTCTTTTTGCTCTCAAGTAACAATTGAGGTATTATCTGATGTCATTGTGAACTTTCCCGCATTGTTTTGGAGAAGTTTTTGCTTTGAGAAATTACTCTCAGGCTGATTGTGTTACAAGTTTCAGGAGCCAACTCAATATTGTCCTCTCTAAATTCGTAAAAATGAACCATTAGTAATTTGTTTCCTCAGCTGCGAACCAGAAATTAGGAGAATCCTCTCTTTTAATACTTTCTCTTCCATTTTGCATTTAAAGAGGAATTTCTATGTGCTCAGGTTCACGAATGGAGACTAGGGAGGGCAAGAAGAAAAACAATGGCCAGTTGAAGCACAGGGATCGCAATTATAGCGCATAACTGAAGCTTGTCTTCTATATTGGTTCTGTCACTGATGCATTTCATTTCTGCCGTGGTGAATCTCTATAGAGTTTAGATATTTTGTATGTTAGGATTAAGCTATTAAGAGTGTTGTTTTTATGCTTTTGTTCTACTGTATATAGCTTTCTTTCCTGTTGGCATCTCTTTGAATCATTATTGATATGGCTTGAATTGGCCCGTGTTTACATGCATATCCTTACTTTTTTTGGGAGTTGAGGTAGTGATCACTTGACCTGATATTTTCTGGATGCACTTTATATGCATTGACTACTGCCATTGGTATTGTTCCTGCAATTGATAATAAACACCAGCCCACGACGGGGGCTTTTGTTCCCTATAAGTTACTAGCCTCCTGCAAATCTTGAGTGGCTTAATTCTTGGTGTATCATTTTCCCCTCCGAATATCATTTTCATGAACTTTGTTGAGGGGCTGTGTTCTCATTCCTTTTCAACTTCTTCTCTTAAACCCTCTCCATGTATTTCCTAACTTGCACTTGTGTTGCATTGCTGCCTCGGATAATGTTTTTGCTCATAATCATTTCTACTTTACGACGGCTGCTTTGGAAGGTTGTCTTTGTTCCTAACATGGTATGCCAGACTTCATGAACAAAATCATCCGAGTCTTCACTATTGAGGGGATACATTGACCACGATGTTATTTCCAGTATAAGCCTCCACTTCCATTTCTGAAATGCTTTATCCGGGAGTGAAGGTGATTTTGGGTTTGGCTCCTTATTTCTCACAACGTAAGAGTTAATCTTCTGAAGTCAGTATTTTTTTTCTATTTTGTGTGTGAGGGGGAGGGGGGATAGGTGTGCAACTCGGGCGGATTGAACGGGGTTCAAATCTAGTCTAATCTTACATATATAATATTTAATCCAAGCCCGAGCCCAAGCCCGAACCCGAACCCGAACCCGTCTTCAACCCGAGGTACTCAACTTGAGTATTATCCAAGTTGAATTTCGGCGGGTTTGGATTGAATTTGGATTTTTTTTAATTCAGGTTAATTTCGGGTTATAAATCAGATGAAAAAAATTACAAGACTCAATAAAAACATACCACAAAGAAATTAAACTAAAAAATTCAAAATACCATAGCTACCCCATTCCCACCACAACCATTACCCCATAGCTACTGCCACTGTCACCACAAACACTGTCCATAGCCACTGTCACTACCACAACAACCACAGCTACTATTTCGCTGCCCACACAACCACCACACCACAGACGTTTCCTATAGTCCCCAGATCTGACCATAGTTGTGGTCTTCGGTGTCATAGCCACTAGATCTCCACCAGATCGGAGATACAAAAGCCACCAAATCTGAAATGTAAAAGTCACTAAATTTTTCTATCGTTGTTGTCTTCGAAACATAGAGGGAGTCAAAGGGAGGCTGAGAGAGAGTAAGAGAGAGCCTGAGATATGGAGAGAGGTTGAGAACGAGAGAGGCACGGTGAGATGTAAAGACCAAAAATGAAAAACTCTAGTGCTAATGCTTTATATATATATATATATATATTTTTTTTTTTTTAATTTGTCGGATTTAGGTTGAACCCGAAAATTTGAGGTATCAACTTGAGGCCTGCCCGAATTCAATTTGGGTTATGGTTTTTTGGCTCAGGTCCAACTCAAGTATTAAATTTTCAACCCAAGTCCTATTTTTTCCAGTTGAATTTGGGTTGACGCGTCCAAGTTGCACCTCTAGGAGGGTGGGGGTGTGTGCCTCGTGACCCTGTAGCAGGCGTAGGGTTTATGTTGTACTCTTTCACTCGCAGCTGATTGAATCACTGTATTGTAGATTTATGTTTTTGGGTGTTTTGCAGCTTAGGACCTTTCTTCCCTGGTTTAATTTATGGTGAGAGATAATCTCACAGTTTCTAACGTTCCATTATCCATATCTATAGTTCATCACGATGCTCTTATTCTTCTACCCATTGCGTTACTGCATATGCCTTTGTTTAAAGTTCTTCTCTTTCTTAATACCATTTGTGGTGGAACATATTTCTATCTAGTCTCTGCAGACCATAGGTGGACTGCCTGCTTGTTTTTATATAGTCTCACATACTACAAAACTTCTGTTCCAATCAATGGTGTATTGAGCAATTTTGACCCAAAAAATCCTCAAAAATAAGTGGTGGATAGCCCAAATCTGAATGTTAAGACGTGTACTAATAATTGCCCGCTTTGTCCTTGAGCAAATGAGTTTGTTTAAGTGGTTATAAAGTTGTCCACCAATACACATGATTTGGGGTCGAGTTTTATCAATTGCATAGTGATTCTCTTCCTCGTTTCCCATAGAGATGGATTAGATAGATCCTCATATTGTGAAAAGTATATGTTAAAGTTAATCTGACATTTCGATAAGATGTACAATGGTTCTTTTGTGATCAAAATTTTTCAATATCACAGTTGATGAGTCCGAATTTTATTGGGCCAAATCCAATAAAAATAAGTTGAAAACGCCCAAAGAAAAGTTCAAGAATAGATGGATTGATCAAGGAGTCAAGTGGAAGTTCAAAACAGAAATCAAGCTCATCCTCAAAGGGGGCACCCAAGGGACGCCACCCATGGAGATTCCAAGTGGGCATGGCCTCAAGTGGGCGTCATCTATGCCTTGCCCATCCTCCCCTCCTCACTTTACTCCAATGCAAGTCCAAGATCACTCCGGGTCTAAGCCCAAAGTTAAGTACAAGTTCAATCCAGTTTAAGACCCTCCTCCGAAAAAATAGGAGCATGAGGGAGAAAACGCTGAGATAGGCACGGAGATCTCCTACCATAGATGTACTTACTAAAATAGTAGAAGTCTTCCTCCTCACGTCACCGCCTCATCACACCTATATAATATAAGCCCTTTCCATATAGAGGGCAGAGACTCTCATAACCTTGAGATCCCTACACACACTACACCTCTCTACACACATTTCTCTCTCAAAAGTACTGTAACTCTCCGGAGACCATGATTCATCAATAAAGAACACCAGGCTACTGATGTCGTTCCCGAAAGTGGAGTAGGTCACCCGGACCGAACCACTGTAAATCCCTGTGTTAATCTATTATTTACTTTTACTCTTAATTGTCATTGTTTGTTTATTTGTCACTCATTAATTGCACCTTTACACATACTTGACTGTTGATCTTGCACGAAGACAATTTTGTGTATCATCAGTTTGGCGCCGTCTGTGGGAACGACAAAGTTTCTACTACGTTTCTATCATCTTGCAATCCATGACAATCACGACCAAATCAAGGTCTCAACAACTGGGAGACAACAACCTCGTTCACCCGGAGGAGGCTCCGCCTCCCCTCACACTCTCAGAACTATCTGCTATGGCAACCCCCGTCGCCGAGCAACAGCTCTTACAGAATATGCAGCTGCTGGTAAAGCAAAACTAGCAGATCATTCAGTTGATGCTCGCCTAAGGAGGGGTCACCCCTCAACCTGTCGCCCCTCAACTAGTGGGAGGAGCCTTACTCCCTCTAACAATAAAGGAGTCACAACCTATCCATTTTGGGCGCCAATCAGCACCCCAACATGGAGTCCCTCACCAAAATGCCCCAAGGCCACACTAAGGCGCCCCTCACCCAGTGGTCCCTCCTCAGCGTGCGGAGAGCTCACGTATTCCCTCTCCACACGTACTTGAGCCAAGAGGACGAAGACAAAGGAGAAAGCCAATATGGCGATCATGGAAGCCAGTGATTCTCATATATCCTTTATTGTTTTAGTTTATTTATGTTATTATTTATTATTTTATGAAATTCTGCGAATATTATTATGTCTGAATTGTCTTGCTTTCCTGAAACTTACAAACAACTTATAAAAGTCAAAACATGACTTAGCAACAAGGTGTAGACAAAAAGACTAATCATTATACTCCCGACAATCAGTTACTACTCCCTAAGCCACAACCAATATAATCAAGGCTCTCCCTGTCACCAACTATTACTGGTGCCTTGTGGGGGACGAAGCCAGAAAAATCAACAATGGCACTCTTATCAGGCATCCAACAAAATGCGCCCAGATGAGGGGTCTCACACTCTCCACCAAGCGACGATGGGTCTCACCCCTCTCACCAGGCGCCCAACTCCCTTGAGCCCTCCTCATTTCCATCTCAATGGAATGAGTCTCCACCATGACCGCCTTCTTCTGAGCTATATGTAACTCTACCTACTACTCCGTGGCATTCTCTCGTGTCTGCCGCCCGGGCCCTACTTGTTTCTTGGCATCCTCTTGTGCCTGCCACCTGAGCCTTACTTGCTCTGTGGCATCCTCTCGTGCCTGCCGTCCGAGCCCTAACTGCTCTTCAGCAGTCTCACGTGCCCACCTCTCCACTACTTAGCCATTAATTGCCTCCCTAATCTTCAGTGTACTGGTAAACAAGCAGGGCAAAGCAGCAGCCACCTGCAGGGCACCCAAAAGTAAAGTATAAAGAAAGAAAGCCAGGTACAAAGCCAAAGAGGAGTGCGGGACATACCAAAGCAAAGGATCTGCCACGGTAGCCATTTTTCGAGACTATACGTAGCTCGGCCTATGACTCTGCTCTCGCACAAGTCAACTAGTAAGCTTCTGCTACGACAGTCATCTCCGAGACTATACGTAGCTCGGCCTCTATGACTCTATTTTCGCGCAAGTAGTCACCTCTGCCACGACAGATCTCTAGCCATCTTCGAGACTATACATAGCTCGACCTTTATGACTATTCTCGCGCAAGTAGTCACCTCTGCCACGACAACCATCTCCGAGACTATACGTAGCTTGGCCTCAGTTCATGTGACCCTATCACGGGATGTCCACATCTCCAACTTTGTTCTCATGCAAATAGCTTGTCTCTCTCTCTCTCTCTAGGTAATCATGTTGGATATTTAATGTTGAGATAATATTGTTTTTGCTATGCGCACAGGGGTCATAGTTTGGAAGGAGTGGAGGCACCACCTAACCTTACTCCC